CAAATCCATCAGCTTTTAAAGCACCTTTAGCATTATCAATGGTTAAAGTAATAGTTCCTCCAAAGTTAGCATTTTTAGCAGTCTCTTGAATATTAGAGGCTATAAAAATAAATGTTCCAGTTCCGTGTAAAGGAGAAATGACATCTAAGCCAGCCAAAATATCTTTTTGCCAACCTAACACATTAACTTCGGAAGCATCCACTAGTTTAGTTTTTATATCACCTTTGATAGCATCTAGTTCAGTCTTAACGTTAGCCGCAGTCTTTCCTTTTAGATCATTTTCTAAATCGGTTCAAAATTTCTTCGCATCACTCTCAATTGCCCCTTTCCCAAGATAAAAGAAATCGTAAATGTCTTTTTTGGCGAGAGTTAAAATATCTTTTTCGTCATAAGCCGAAGAAACTTTACCACTTTTATAAAGATCGGCGACATCGTTGGCCTTATCTCTTCAGTCTAAAAGGCGATCTTTTTCCCTTTGGGCTTGGGCATAGCCATCTTTGGCTGTTTTAACCTTAGTTAATTCAACATCAATAATATCTTTCTCTCATTGTCCTGCAACAAAAATATCAGGTAACTGAATCGCAATTTTCCTTAACTTATTTTCTAAATCGGTCGAACTACCCGCTATGGTCGAACCGGGTGCAGGATAAGTAAGAAATTCTAAATGGTTATAAAAAAATCTTGGTTTATTCATTATGGTTTTCTAATCGCCATTAAGGGGTTGTGGGTAGATAAATCAATATGATATTTATCATGCTTATAAACAATAGTTTTTAAAGTATCGCCTGGCTCTTCAGTTCGGAGTTTATCAATTGTTCAAGTGCATTTAATAGTCTTTCTACTCATTCCGACAGCCTGGAAATTATTATCAAGCGTGGCCGGGATAATTGTCAATAACTGATTAAGTAAAGAATAGTTAACCATCGGGTTTCTCAAAACTACATCAATTGTCGATGAAACCGGTCAATCAACGATCAAAATAATTTCATCTATTCCGCACTTAGCATCACTGCCAGCACGGGTATTTTGCTTACCTTCTGAAATACCCGAAATTAATTGAGTCATAGCGGCAGCAAATTCGTGTTGATTTAAGTTACTTAAATCTTTTTCGATAATCTGTTCTGGGCGGTAAATGGATTTGTCTAAACTGTCTTCAAAAGCTGCCACCGAAGCCCTTCAAGTAGCCGAATCCGCTGGTACCTTAGAAGTAAGTTGACCAGTTTTATCACTAATTTGGGGAGCATCGCCTACTTTACCGTAATAATAGGTGTCGCGGGCTGCTGGTCGCGAAGAAGGATGAAGCCAGTCTTCACTTCCTTTATTGTAAAGGTTAGGATCGTAGCGACAAATTTTTTCTAAAAATTCATACCACATCTTTCTGGCAACTCCTTTCGCCATTCCACCAATCTTATTTTCCAAAATCCTTCCACTTACTTTTGGGTCGCTGATGGCTTGCTTAATCATCTCTTCACTAACTACTTCAGTAGTTACTCAGTGTTTTAATCTAAATTTTTCTTCGTTAAGGGGAGAACCGGTTAAAGCTCGTTTTTCTTCATAAGAAAGACCTTTTTCCCGGTACTCATAACCACCTCCTAACTCGTCGCTATAGTATTTAACTACGTCCCCGCCATCAATAAATCCTTTTTCTAAATAAGGAGCTAACTTGAATTCATCGCGGGTAACCTCATCAAAGCCGGCTAAAACCTCGGCATTATCTAAATATTGAAGTATTGCATTACGATCTACTTGTATTCCTGGCATATTACTGTTCGATTTTTTTTATTATTGTCAATCATTATTAAAATCGCCAGTAATTTTTTGTTGCCAGATATTTTTTTCCCAGTTTGCCAGTAATTTTTTTAAACCTAATGCATTAGATTTACGCCTTACACTTTTTTAATTTATAAGGCGCAGAAATTACTGGCGTAAAAACTGCGCCACTTCATCTCTATTAAAATTTTCTTTTGCTTTT